TAATACTTGCCTCCAGGAATGCTTTTGGGAGGATTGCTTCCTTTTAAATTTCATGGAAGAATTTGCGTAGTATAAGGACTACATCTTCTGTAAATTTCTTGTAGAATTCAGTTGTGAATCCATCCAGACCTGGACTTTTTTGTGTCAGTAGGTTTTTTATTACATCTCATATTTTATTGGTTGTTATTGGGCTATTGAGAGTGGTTATATCTTGTCAACTCAGTTTTGGTAATTTGTACTTTTGTAGGAATCTGTCCATTCCTTCTGTGTCTTCTATTCTTTGAGAGTAAAGATTCTCAAAGTAGCTATTGATAATCTTCTGAATTTCCACTGGGTCTGTGGTAATTACACCCTTTTCCTTCCTTATTGCTTGTATTTGAATTTTTTCTTTCCTGTTTTTGATGATGTTAGCTAGGGGCTTATCGATTTCATGTGATCTTTCAAGGAACCAACTTTTTGCTTTGTTAATTCTTTGAATTGTTTTCTTCATCTCAACTGAATTAATTTCTGCTCTAAACTTTATGATTTCCTCCCATCTTTGGGCTCTGGGTTTGGTTTGCTCTTCCTTTTCTAGTTGTTGAAGGTGAAGCATTAGGGTGTTTATTTGTTCCCATTCTTTTTTCCTAATGTGTGAATTCACAGCTATGAATTTCCCTCTGAAACTGCTTTCATCGTATCCCATAAATTCGTATGCCCATATTTTTTTAATGTCATTTGTATTGACTCCTTCTTTCTCATTGATGTCTGTTAGTCTCACGTTGTTCATCTTTGCATCATCTTGCAGGTGATGGATTATTTTTTTTCTGCATCCTAGTTGTTTTTAAGAGATCCTTTCTTACCTTTTCACTAGCTTCACCAGCGTCTTCAAGATCTGAAACTCTGTCTTCACTTTCACTTAAACAGTTTTGCAAGCTTGTGATTGAGATTTTAAGTTCCTTCATATCTCTTTGACTCTGCTTCATGCAATCTATTTCTTTCCTGCATTGCTCATTCAAGGAATCCGTCATTTTTCTAATCTCTTTTTTTATCAATGTTTTCTTTAAAAGCAGTTAATTCTTTTAGTGCAGTGTTTTTTGTTTTTTGTTTTTTTTTTTCAGATTGGGTTTCCTCCCTATGTTTCTGTAGTTGATTCTTTACTTCCAATGCTATGAGTTACGAGAATTCTTATTTCAGAAAATTCCGCTCTGAGTTCCTCTATAACTTTCTGCTGTTGCTTATTTATTATCGACACTATTAATTCATACATTTGAGCTGAGCTAGTGTCCTCTGCACTTGTTCTGGTTGGGCTTTGTGTTTCTTCCATATGTTTCTGCATTTGATTCTTTACTGCAGATGTTATTAATTCAAAGATTTCTTTTTTCTTTTCCAAACTGAGTTCCTCTATACCTTTCTGCAGCTGTTTCTTTATTTCAGAAGCTGTTGATTCATTGCTTTCAGCTGTGTAATTCCCAATTTGTTCTGTGTTAGTGTCCTTTGCACTTGTTATGTGTGGGCTTGGGTTCTGAGATTGCATTTTCTCCTTCCCGTTGTCATTTTGTGTAGCACTGTCTTCTGACTTTTGTTGTAGAGCTTTGTTGCAGTTATAATCTTAGCACTTACTGAAGTTCAGATGCAAATCTACAAAACTTGGATTTATCCATCTGTGCCTGGCTTGGGTCTGGCTGCTTTGCTCTGCTCCTTCTTGCTGCTGCCCTTGGGGGTGAACCTGTTGTGCCCCTCTGGCAAGATGTTCTGCTCCTGGACTAGCTGGGTGGTTCTGTCCCCTACTCTCTTTGCAGGGATTGCAGCTGCAGGGTTTCACCTCAGGTCTGTATGCCAGGCCTGAACTGAGTCTGGAGGGGACAAGGTGGAGTAGGGGGGTGAGGAAACTCTCCCACATACTCCCTGGGCCTGGGCTAGGGCTGGATCTGGGGGTTCTCAGAATGCGGCAGAAATTCTCAGTGCGCGGGCAGGGTAGGGTGGGGTGCTGCAGCGTGCTGGTGGATGTTCCAAGGGGGTGGAAGAGGGTCTCACCCACTCTACGCCTGGGCTTGGACCGGTACGTCCCGCTGGCACAGGGTAGCGGGAATCTCTCCCACACACTCTGCAGGCCCGGGATCAGACTGGGTCTGGGGGTCCCTAGAATGAAGCAAGAATTCTCACTATGTTGGCATGTTGGGGTGCGGTGCTGCGGAGTGGTAGGGGGGGTTCCAACGGGGTGGAAGAGGGTCTTACCCACGCTGCGCCTGGGCTGAGACTGGCAGGTCCTGCTGGCACAGGGTAGCCAGAAACTCTCCCACACACTCACCCAGCCTGGGCTAGTACTGGATCTGAGGTTGTTTCTTCACTTCAATTGCCATCATCTCCGAAATTTCAGGTGTGCGCCTTCCACGTTCTTCTAAGACCTTGTCTCCTGGACTTGTTTTGGGTGAGCTAGACACCTGCAATTGCCTTTTGTTCCTTCCTTTAGTCATTTTTTGCAGTGAAGGTTGGTGGGCGGGGTTAGGTCAGCAAGGCTCTCAGAAGAGGGGGAGGGGAGGGGCGGCTCAGCAGTGCTCCTGCTGTGCAGGGTTCAGTGTGCTTTCTATCTCATTAAGGAGAGGGGGTCAAGCCATAGTTCAAGAAGGATCCAATGATGATGAGTGGGGCCCAGAGTTGTGCGAGGCTGCCTCAGTGTTGGGTTGGCACAGGGAGTGCTAGCCAAGGTTCCTGGGGTTGCTGTGGTAGTCACCCCTTTCATCTCCCTAGTGGTCTGCAGGTGGAGGACAGGCAGCTGGGCTCATTGGAACTCTGGCAGGAAGGCTTGGGGGGCAGGGCTAGGGCTACCACCCCTAACTCCCCCCTTCCACATTCTTTAGGGCAAGGAAGGGCAGCCAGAGTCAGCAGAGCTCTTGTGGGAGGGAGATGGGAACTTTAGTCTTCCCAGTGGCCATACTTGGAGAAATTTAAAGAGAATTTTAACTTTACATAACTTTTAAACAATGCCAGGTACTGTTCAAATCCTTTGCAATTTTTTTTTTTTTTAAATGAATTTGGTTATTACAGCGCCTCACTGCACAGCTCGGACTTGTAGTGATCCTCCTGCTTTCATCCTCCCCAGCGCTGAGATTACAGGCACAGACCACTATGCCCAGCCTGCCTTTGGGGCGGGGGTAGCATGTGGTGCTGGGGATCAAACCATGGTTCCTGCACTTGCCTAAACTTGCCAAAGCAGGTGCTCTAGTCCACTGAGGTATCCCGATGGCCTCATCCTTTGAAAACATTAAACCATAGGATCCTGAAAGCAGGCCTGTGAGGTGTTCATGCCCTTCTTATTCCATTGTTCTGTAAGAGAGCACAGTGGCCCAGAAAAGTTAAATAATTTGCCCACTATTCTGCAGTAAGCAGGGCTTGGGGGGCTTGGGTCTCAGCCGTGGCAAAGTGGCTCCCCATGGTCCTGTTTAATCACTGCCAGTTTCCTCCAGAGGTTTATGGCCCTCTCTTTGTGCAGGGGTTACTTTTGTTTTCTCTGCCCCAAAATAAAAGAGAATTCTTTATCTTTGTTTAGTCAGACTTCTGGCCTTGTTTGAACTCAAGTCAGGACTGGAGACTGTTTAATTTGAATCTCCTATAAATCAAAAAGTGTTTGTAAACCTTTTCTGGTTATACATTGCCTACCTTCTAGAGGTCAGTCAGTAGTTTACTGGACTGGCACACTCCATGTCTTCCCACAGTCTGTACAGAACATCGATGGAGACACGTTCCCATCAATAGTTTGAGTGTTTTATTTTCCACTAGCACCCACCATGGCATTTGCTTTTAAAAGTAGTCCTCCATTACAGCTTGGTAATTTCTCGATAAAAGATTTGGTAGGGCCGGCCAGATTGCTCAGCGGACTAAAGTACCTGCTTAGCAGAAGACAGCCGCCAGGGTTCCATCCCTGGCCTGCCGAGCTGGCCCCACCCCTGGGACATGATGAGATGGCACTTGAGACTGGGCATTGTGGTGTGTGTCTGTAATCCCAGTGCTTAGGAGGCTGAAAACAGGAGGGTCACTATAGAGTACAGTCTGTGTAGTGACTGTATTACATACATTAAAAAAAAAATAAAGATTTGGTGAACTGACTTCTACGTAATGTATCCTGGCATCAAAATTTGTTTTTCTTCTTTCTTATATCTTTTCCCCTCTCCTGTTCTCCCTTCCATTTTTTCCTTTCCTCTCTGTCTTTCTGTCTCTGTCACTTGCTTGTGCTCTCTCTGTGTGCTCTTTCACTCTACCTAGGGCCTCTGTAGGCTGGCCTTATGCGCGCAGTGTAGCCCATGCTGGCTCAGCCTTGTGTTCTCTGCTTTGGCACAGCCTTCCAGCCCCGCTCCAGCGCTGGGACTACAGGTGATGCCACCACTGCCTGCTCAAACTCTTTTTTGGTATTCTTTTTTTTTGTTTTGTTTTGTTTTGGTACTGAAAATTGAACTCAGGACCTCACACTTGCCACTGACTGAGTGTTAGTCCCAGTCCTTCAAAACTCTTTCTTAAAGGGGCAAATGCCCTTTGAGCAGAGCAGATCAAGTTACTAAAATATTTACTTAGTGGGCTCCTTAAATTTTGTAAAGTCATATTTTACCTGCAAATGCTTCACTATTCCATGATGCTTATCTCAGTTACTCTTTCATTGCAGGGACAAAATACCCAACACCCAAAATGAAGGAAGGGAAAGGTGCACTTAGCTCACAGTTGGTGGAGGTTTCAGTGCATATTCAGCGGGCTTCATGGCAGCAGCACAGGGCAAAGAACAGAGCAAAAGGGAAGAGCGGCAGCAACAGTGGCAGCAGAGAGCAAGTCTGTTGCATTCAGGCTGTTTGCCCCAGGCCATCACACCCATAATCCCAGCAGCGCTCACACTCATAATCCCAGCACTGAATCAGGAATTGATCACAAAGTCTAGAGGTCTGCCCCATAACCGCATGAGGCTTTGGGAGAACAACTAGACACAAACCATAACAGTGTTTCATCTTAATTTTTTTTTTTCTACTTTTTGATTGCAGACCTGTCTATAGCAGTGCAGAAATTTTCCCAGTCACTGCAAGACTTCCAATTTGAATGTATTGGTGATGCCGAAACGGATGATGAAATTAGTATTGGTAAGTACTGTGTAACTCATTGTCTATCCTAAGTTATAATCTTTGACATCTGACTTCAGATATTTATTTTATTGAAATCAAAGATTCTCATACAGTAAAAGTAAACATTGAAATTTTCCTGATTTTAGTAAAACTGAATATGGATCTTGGAATTCCATAGAAAATAATGTTATGAATTGTTTTTAAATTGAAACTGTTGTTTTTTCCACAAGGAAATATTTAATCCCTTTTTTAAAAAAGCAGGTCAGCCTTCTAAGGAAATACAGTTGCACTATTGGTCTCTGCATCAAAATAAATTGTTCATGCAAACAAATATGCATTGGGTAGCAACTGTTGAATATGTTTGGTTCAAGTATGAGGAATTATCTTACTTGATTTTCTTAATATTGATTTCTTTTTTAACTTGAGCATCTGTTCATAAAAACAAAACATAGTTAGTAGTCATGATGAGTTGAACTAGTGCCCTGCAGGGCACAGGGCATCCTGGGGTTGGAAGACTTGAGTCCTCTGGCCATCCAGCCTGAGCACACACCCTCCCCAGCCATGTGATTTCATTCTGGTAAGACAGAGGTGAGGTTATGTGGGTTTGACCCACACTTGAGTTTTTATTGTGTGAACACCAGATTCCCTGCTTTTGAAGATCCCCACTTGCCATCGTATGGGTGTACGATTCGTCTGCAGTCTGGATGTGTCACGTGATCAGTGTGCCTTGATGAATCAGAGACAGCGTTAGGCGTGCCCTCTTTCCAGGTGTGAGTACACTATATCGCAGGTACTGTTTTAGAATAGTGATTCCCAGGCGTTAGGGTACATGTGAAATCCGAGACTGAATAACAACGCAGATTCTGATGCAGGAAGTCTCAGGTGAGAGAGGTGTAGCTCTCCAGTTTTGCAGACTGTAACAGTGATGACAGCTGCACTGGTCTGTGGAATACACCTGAGTGGCCAAGACCTGCCATCTTCACCACACCTCTCCACAGCCATATTTTTCTCCTGCCTCTGCTCTTTCCTTTTTATTTTTTTTCTCCTATAGTTTTGCCAGTTATGACTATTTCATAATGTATTTTTTCATCATTTTGAAAGCCTTGGTAGCAAGTCCAAACGTGGTTGTGAACAAAGAGCCAGGTGAGATGTGGAAGGCCTGTAATCCCAACCCTGGGGAAGCTGAGGCCGGAGGATGGCAGTGAGTTCGGGGACAGCCTGGGCCACCTAGTGAGTTCAAGGTTGGCCTGAAACGTGTCTCAAAAACAAAATAAAAAAATAAAGTCACGAAGGAAAAGAAAAATCAGTATTTTTTTCCCAAGAAAGGCAGGTTCTCCAGAAAAGATAGTCCCTTTGGGCTTTTCATGCCCTGTGGGGCAGAAGCCTGTTTCTGTCTACACAGCTGCTCCAGGAAAAATCACTGGGAAGAGGCCGGTCCTGGGCGTGCTGTTTGCACAGTGGAGTTTACAGCAGGCTTGCATCACAGTGGACATGTTGGCAAGAGGCTGGCCAACGGTTGCTGTGTCTGCCTGCTCCCCCAGGGGTGTGATTCCCCTGCAGGGAGCACCGCGGTGCTTCGTCTCTGATGTCGTAGTGGCTCCTTCTGCCTTAGTCCGGGATGAAAAGTAGCCCAGTGGCTGTTGGAAGTCCAGGAGAAAGGCAGCGCTGTCACATGGACTCCACAGCAGGGCTCCTTCCTCTGCCCCCATAACAGGTCAAATGGGGATGACCAGCAGTGGCGGTCATGCATCATCTACATGGGGAAAGCAGTGTTATTTTGTTGTGTGTGTGTGTGTGTGTGTGTGTGTGTGTGTGTGTGTGTATGCATGCATGCATGTGCATATTGCCAGGAATCTAACTCAGAAACATACTTGGCCACTGAGCTCCATCCTCAGCCATGCTTGTTACTTCTTGTCATTTGTGTCCTCTGTCACCTGATATAAACAGATAAAGCATAGATTATATTACTATGGTAATAACATACTATATTATTTAGAAAAAGATTACTCAAACATATTATTTTCATTTAGTTATAAAGCTAATTTCTATAAAGGTAGAGGACAGATCTTTTATTTTTTTCATCATTTTATCCTTTGCACTTGACCTTGGGCCTAGCTCATGATAAGCCCTCAATTAATGTGTTGAATAAATAACAGTATTTCTTTAGAAACTTGAGTTTTTCCCCACATGTATGCCCCTTTTTCTAACAGCATGATTTTGACTATGTGTGAGGCTATCCCAAGGGTTAGTCCAAGGACAGTGACCTGAGAGGACTGTATTCCTGGACCTGCGTGAGGTCTGTGGACAGTCAGTCGTGCTTACGTTCTTAGTCAACTGCAGCTCTGTGTGGACATAGACCGTTTGAGTTACCGTTGCCTTAGCTTTCTGATGCTCTGGCTTCAGGTTTTCTGTTCCTCCGATACAGGGAAAGAAGAGTGAGGTGAGGACAGCTGTGGCTCTTGGCACCGAGTGAGACCAAGAACCCTCCCAGCCAGGTTGTCCTGAGACTTGGCCGTGGCCCACGTGGGCCATGCAGTGGCCTGATGAAGAGGCCTGTTCCTCCCTCGCAAGCCAGAGCTGCATCCCCCACCCTGTTCATTGTGATTTTGACACAGTGTCATGCTAAGCTGCACAAGTGGGACTCAGACTTGTAATTCCCTTTCTTAGCTTCCAAAGTGCTGGGATTACAGGTGTGTGCTGCCAACCATGGCTGTTCATCTTTTCTAAGTCCTGTCAAAGCAAGATGATTTGGGAACTAAAAGCGTAGTCAGGCTTTCTGCATGTGAGGTAATTGGATCACAGTGTCTGCTTTCAGAGGGAGAGGATGGAGTGCCAACTTGGAGTAAGGGGAAAAAAGAAGTGTCACAGTATTGATAGAATTTGCTCTTGTGTAGCTGTTCTGGGTGTTTGTTAGCTGTATAAAGCAGTGCCTCTTAGGGCCTGTTTCCTGGTGTTCAGCAGTTCCCTTCTGCCTGCACCCTTTCCCCTGATGCATGCTAGGCTTGTTTGTTTGCTTGCTTTCTAGCTTTGCCTTGTTTTGATCTATGTGCCGGTGAGCCATTGCAGACTGGGAAGGAAGCAAAATGGAGTTGCTTGTTCAGCACCTGCTGAGGAGCGCGTGGCTCGAGGCTCAAGAGCAGGCTGGCTCTTTCCAGGCCGGAGGTGCAAAGCCAGGCAGTGTCCTGCTCTCTGCTCTTAGACCCTCACTCCCATCCATGGGCAACAAGGGGCCATTTCTTTTCCTTCTCTAAGCACAAGTAAGCTTTGGGGGAGCCTTTGCTTGCACCCTTTCTTCTTGTGCTTCAGGCCAAGTGCGTGGACAGCAGCACACTGTGTCCACTTAACTTCCCGCAGCCTCTCTCCCTGCCTCCTTTGACACTGCTGTGAGTTTTGAAGACTGAGGATGACAGTGAGAGGCACTTGGGCTTTGGAAATTGGTGAGGTAGGGCAAGGGGTGTAAGTATAAAGTGATGTGAGTTTCAACCATTCTCTCATAACATAAGGATAGAGTAGATACAAAATATATGATTATTTAACTACAGCTACATGGTAGTGTTCATGGCAGTGCGAAAGCACGATACGGTTGCATCAGCTGTGGAACGCATTTATGTGTAGGAACTGAGAGTGTTCCGACATGAATCAGGTGTACAGCCGTAAGCCTTGCTCCCAGGTAATAAAGGCTGTCTGTACAAAAAATGAAATGCTGTTGTGCTGAAAACACTGTTTACTGCAGCTCAGTTAAATATCAAAACTTCCAAAGATATTCTTGCAAATCTTCTATGAGACAAGCATTTTGGACTTATGAATTAAATAGTTTAGAGTAAAATCATGAAGGCTTATATCGTAGACATGACTTCAGTTTCTATCTACACTGGAGCTGGCATGGAGCTTACTCTATGTTGGTTTTCATGAAGTACCTGTACTTTGAAATCACTGTAGATCTCCTATCTTAATCTGAATTATAAAAAAATCATGTGTGCTCATTCAAGCTGACCTATTGCCAATAAAAGTGTTAGTCATTAGTGTGGGGCAGAGTTTCTCCATCTGGCATAGTCTTGGAAACACTGGGCAGTGCAGCTGCGCTTGCGCACCGGCAGCTGGCTGCGGGCTGTGTCGTGTGATGGTGACTCTCGGGGATTTCTTGGACTATGTGAGCTTTGTACTTCAGAGATTAAACATTTACCAAGAGGGAGAGTCAGTTTGCTGGTAAATATTTTAGGTGGGAACTTCATTGCCGGAAACACACCTAAACAGAACATTCTTGTGGTGGAGAAACACAGCAAATTGTTCCTTGTGGACTAAAGTGATAGTTCCAGATTCTTCATAGATTAATGAGGGAATCAGCTCAGTAATTCAGATCGAAATACACTTTGTAACATTCACCCAGCTGTTTTTGACCTAGCTAGTATATTCTTGTTTGTGTGTTTATTGTGAATTGCAAATAGATAGGCATAGCAGCAAGGATGGTTATGCTTGTTATATAGAATGAAGAGCACATTGCATCTGTCAAAATAAACTTTTGTGTGGTGGTGTATGTTCATATTTATATATGTACAATTTGATGCCTGAGTCAGCCAAACCAGAACCAAGTTTCACATCTAGTATTGACTGGAGTACTTTCTTTCTTTTTGTTTTTTTAAAATTATGTATTTGGTACAGAGTCTTGCTATGCAGCTCAGACTTGTAGTGATCTTCCTGTTTTCAGTCTCCACAGAGTTGGGATTACAGGCATGTACCACCATACCCAGTCGGTCTCAGTGGCTGGCACAGTGTACCCAGGGGCAGTGCCAGTGTGGGACAGGGGTACTTTCTATATTTTTGATTCTTTCCTGTTCTGTCTCTAGTAGTCTGTGTTGAAAGGTGAGGCTATAGGAGTTGACTTTAAAGTAATGGCGACTTAAGGCTCACTTTATTGGGTCTTTCTGAGCCAGCAGTGCTTTGTGTAGGCACGAAGATTTGGCATTTTATTACCGCTTTGAAGCTAGATATACATCAGTGGGATGTAGTCGTAAAAGTGA